ATATGAATATTTTAATGATTTTTTGACAACCCTTGATTTTCACAGAAGTAAATATGACTATTGTCTGTATGTTAAAAAAGAAAATAATTGGACTGTTTACATTTTATTATATGTTGACGATTTATTAATTTGCTGTAAAAATTAACAAGTTACTATCGACATAAAAAACAAACTGACAAGTTCAAAATGAAAGACATAGGTAGAGTAAAAAATATATCGGTATTAATATTGAATATGATTATGATCAAGATAATATGTTAACTTTGAGTTAGAAATCTTATATTGAGTTTTTAGCTAAACCTTACAAAATTGAAAATGCAAAATTATTTAAAACCCCTATGGAAATAAACTTAATACTGGGGCAATCTGATGTAAATGAGGATATAAAGTACAGAATGTGATTGGCGCTCTTTTGTATATAAGCTCTGGTACTAGACCAGATACATATATCTTTCAGCGTAAATTAATTAAGTAGATTCCAAAATTGTTATAATAAGACATATTTTAAATATGCTCTGCGAGTTCTAAAATATTTGTACTTGACGAAAGATCTTAAATTAAAATATTTTAAGAATAATAACGTTGATATTGTGGATTGTTTTGTGGAGGAGACACCATATATAGAAAATCTACCACAGGATTTGTTATTAGATTTTTTGGAAATGTCATCTACTGAAAATCAAAGAAACAAAATAGTGTAACAAAGTCCTCTACATTTGCTGAGTACATTGCCTTATCTGAAGAGATAATTTTTCTTATTTGTTTAATGAGTGAAATGTTTACTTAAACTTGTAAACCACTTAGGATGAAGATAACCCAGGGGCAGTAGCTATTTCTAAATATGGAAATTTTACAAAGAAATCTAAACACATTGAGGTTCACTATCATTTTATACATGAAAATGTTAAGCAAGAAAATATTGAAGTAGTAAAGATAGAGTCAGAATTCAGTGAAATGTTAAATATTAAAGAATAAAATAAGATGTGTTATAAATAGTTAATGAATGTGATAGTATTGTAACTGTACAATAATAGTATTGTATTGTATTTTAATTGTATTTTTATGCGTTGTGTTGCAATGTGAATGTAAGGAGGCGTGTTAGTTACTGTACTGTACTGTTCATATTGACAACACTGATTTTAGTAAGCTATAAGTAACTTCAGTTTGTTGATCGTCTTGTCATAACAGATGTATTTTTATATAAAATAAGTTGTTTATAATAAAAAAACATGAACGTAATAAGAAAAGGAGATTCTTTAAACTGATTACATTAACAATTTCAATAATTATAGCGGATTTCACATTCTCAACATTATCAATTATTAAATCAGAACGGCATGCGCCTGCAACTTCCAATACGACCTATAAAGAAACTTTTTAAAAATGTTCTTTTATTTTTACAACATTTACCTTCATCATCAAATATAAATTATCAGGTACACTATTCAAAAAGCAATCAACTTGCTCCTTTGTAAATACTCGATATTTTCGGTACATATCCCTCATTTTGTCTCGTGATAAAAGCACGTAACTTTGAATATTTGCTTATATCAATCCCCTTCTTTATAACGTTCACCGCAACAGTGACCAAAGCGTTGACGGCTTCATTTTATTTGCTATGTTTGAGAAATACACCTTCAATACATGTTCTGAATATAACTTACATGTTTTTTTCTATGCATCAATCCATAAAACGTTGGTAGACACATTCATAAATTTTTCAAGATTTCTTTGGGAGGAGATTCAAAGAAACCTCTTTCGCACACTGCAGTATCTCCTCAGGTATACATTTTTTCAGAGTTTTCAGCAAATTGAACCACAAGCAATCACAAATCAACTCAATTAGCAATATGGCGAGTAATGTTTAACAAAGTATCCATGACTACATCGATATATCCTAGTTACCTATATTGCTTTACTATCCTTTGGTTTGAATAATTTTAAAGCACAAATTAATAATTAAATGGGGGATTTCGGTTGGAGAAAAAATAACATGTTTTATTCGGATTAAAAGTGTCTTTTTTTGTCACGCAATTTTGCATCCGGTCGGCTACGTTACGCTTCGCATCGTAAATACAAAATTTGCTCATTACATAAAAAACACATATACACATAACGCATAAAACACACCACATAAATGAGACAACCCAAAGCCAAAGGCTATGCGGAAGGGGGCTACACTTGAAAAAATGCGGACAAGCACCCATTATCCATGGACATTGCCAGTGCCGACGCCAGGGATCGAACCCGAACCAGAATAGGAAGTCTGGCCGAGAAATGATTGCTACTGCATGCTCGACCGACTGATTTACAAAAGTAGCATCTAATATACCAATATACAATTTTCTTTATGAGTTCGTCCTTTTTTTTCAAGATACAGAGTGTATAGTAAGTGTTCTATTCTAGTGGACATGTTTTTAATAGAATGTATAAAATAATATTGCAAATAATAAATTATTATAAATACCTACTTAACTACTTATATCAAACAAAAAGGTTACACATAAGAAGTAAATACTACGATTCAAGAAAACGAATATTAACGAACTGAAAAATCAATGCTAATGCAAAAGACGTTTTTTTACAAAAAAGAATAAATTAATTCATTCCCAAAATGGTAATCAATTCAAGATGTTAAATAGCAATATTCTAAAATTAATACATCATATTTTTGTTTACTTTCTGCACTGACTGAATAATAAAAATTTGTGTTTTTGTTTTTACAATTATATTAATATGCGATATAAAGACCTGCGTACATTTTTTGAGCAGAATTAAAAAGTACATAAGAAAATCGTATTAAAGATTCCAATATTCAAGTCTAAAAAAAGATGTGACCTAACATATCGTTGGTTTTCAGTATACATATACGGACAAAAAATTGAAAGAATTTCTTTCTCAAGGAAAGAAATAAATAAAATTTTATAACACCTATTTTATATCATCAGATTCAACTGTTTTTGCCACTATTGTTATTATTAATAAATTAATTTGACATACCTGATGTTCAAAATTTTGTCCACTGACGTGTAAATACATTTGAGCCCGTCTTACCCAGTCTCTATGAACTAATATACAAATTTTGTCTTGCTTCACCGTAACACAAATAAATGTTGTCTTTCTTCACCATAAATTAAAACAATATCCATCAACTTCGAGTTGCTATACACGTTGGTAAGCCATTTTTGACACTTGAAAAACTAACGTCAACACTTTCACAAAAACGTTAATACTAAAATCGGATTTCAGTATTTGTAATCGTCTGGGGCCACGTGCATTGCACACAGCGCAGACTACAGTAGCCCAGCAGTGTAAGGGTTGAAAATACTATAACTTTATAATTTTTTTCTCGGAAACTATAAGGATTTTATATATTTTTTTTACTATATTGGCTACATATTTCATGACGCATCTATTCCCAAATTTTTTGGATATTGTCACATAAAGTACGAAGTGTATCTAAATGTTAGTCTTTTTCGTCTGGGGCTCTTTCGCCTATTATTATTATCGACAAAATAAAACAATTATATACAATCGTAGTTAATTTTGATTGGCCGCTCTCCCTTTATGACGATATTGCTGGGATAATGGTCTACGCTCTATTTTACCTAGACACTGCAATATGCTTTAGTTTGGTTTTTCGTTTTTCCTTTTTATGGGAGCTTTTTGGCTTAACCTTGTTTTTCAATGGGCACTGTGTTATGAAAACGCTGTAGAGTATGGCACTCTGACATTTCTTTATCATTGTCTTTGAATGCTGGGGCTGGAATACTAAAGTTTAGGTGTGTGTGGTCGTCCATAGAGCACCTGTATGGATGCTTTCGGAGCTTGCGTTTGTGTATGTGGCCTCCCCAGAGCGCTTACTACTTTAAAAGCTAAAGCTTATGATTGGAGGGCTTATGGGCTTATGTAAGGATGCTTTAGGAACTTGTAGGTGTATTTAGGATGTTCACTTCAAGGTGGACAAAGCCTAAATAGTATGTGTTACGTTAGCTTTTTGAGGAGAAATTTTAACTCAGTTTTAATTTTTTTAATCGTGTTATTTATTGCAATTTTAGGATTAATTAACAATAAATAATATGTAATATTTATATACAACACAAAATAATTTGGAGCATACTAAGTACTGGCCAAGATCCGAAACTGGTTATTGAACTGCACGCGGTTAGGGTAGACGTTCGAACACCCTCTACGGTGGCCTCGCAAAGAGTCCTATAGCGAGGCTCGTCAGAATCTGGAAATCATGACGTCCGTCTATAGATTATGGCCGTCTCCCAAGAGTTGCGAGCGGAAAAACTTATTTTGATTAATGATGGTCCTAGTTAGTTTGAAATTCTAAATATTTGGACTAAAGTTTTGCCAAAATTCAAAAGGGTGATGAATATTTCCCACCTTCCTATGCTGTCGCGAGCGGTGTCATGTTTCGTCGTTTACACTGTCAGCATCATCTGGTATGGCGGATCGCTTTTGGCAATCATGACTTCGTATGAGATTACGGGAAATTTTCGAAAATTGGGTGGAAATGTATTTTCCTGCCCTACCCTTTCCGATCTGCGTAGTGCGTCATCTGCGGTTGGTTATAGTTCTGGTAGCTTTAGTGTGCCCGGTAAATAGCTTTTTAAAATATTGTCGAATTATTTTCGAAACATGAGTGAATTTCGAACTGCATTATACGACAAAACATTTATAACCTTTTGGGAGCTTTACTTGCGTGACTGCGGAGGAATTCAAATATATAACAAATCGTATACAGGGCATAAACTTCGTGTCCTTGGCGTGAACCGATCGAGAATGATTAAGAAGCAGATCTGATTTAAATGTTGGTGTTACAAACAATACAACCTTGTAATTAGTAATAACATCGATGTTATAAATAAATAAAACAATATTTTGAAATTGTTTTGCATTTATAATTGGGAAATATTAATTTGAAAAATAACACATGCTCCTTTCTCTGAGATAAATGATATAATACTAATAACATGTTAATTTTTAGTAAATTCCACAAGCTTTGTTTGCAACTATACCAATCCAGTTTGGTTACATGAGGAAGAATTATTTTTTCCTTGTTCAGGTACAGCATATCATCTAATTAGTTTATTTACAATATTTTTACATTTGTTTAATATTTTAGTAACTAGTTTTCCAATGTCAATGCAAAATGGAGAAATTAGTATATCACCGGAAAATAGTGTATGTGACGATTCAGAAAAGTTTGAACAGGTAAGTTGATATTAACTAAATATAGCGTAAAGAATGCCCAATAAATGTTATAAAAAAACTTTTAGAGGTTGAAAAAAGTAGCAAATTAAGAGAAAATATTTTTAAAAATATAACCTTTAAAATAGAGTTTAAAACAGATCAGTTTTTTGAAAGGCACGTTAAATGTTTTTCGTTCAAATTCGGGCAAATGATTATTATTTTTAAATATCACAATTTTCTTAGATTTTAGTGTTAACAATTATATAAAACATAATTTCTTTTATATACGAATCTTGCTTCATTATACTGCAAAAGTGCAAAATTTTAACTATTTTTAAGGATGCTGCAACACATTAAATACATTTTTTCTCAGAAACGGTTAATGTTATTAGTTTGGAATATGAATATCTTTTTTGAGAGTTTTTTAAAGATCTTCAATAATAATCAGATTTCAGGTAAATATACGAACTTATGTCATTATTTTTGTGTGTAAATCACCTCTACAATTTTTTGTACTTTATTGGGATCACCCGTATACTGACGAGATTATCATTTCTATAAAAATTCACATTTACAATAAGCTTCTAAGTAATACAAGTTTCCCATAACCAACTGCAATAGTACCTACTAAATAGCAATTCAACCATTAATATTTAATTCCGAATTTGGCTGAACTTCACTGTTGGATAAAACTTATTAAATATAAGACGTTGAAAACCAAATTCGTTAAAAAAACCTGTTTTATAATTTACCTTAATTAAAAGGAACAAGAAATAATTTTAATATCATTTGGGATCTGTTTTTGAATTAGTATTCAACTTTTCAGTCTTTACTTTTCATTTTACATAATTAGAAAATTGTAGATTAATTCTGTTTTATGCCTTTTATATTATGTTATGAGTTTTATGAAGTTATATCTTGTCAGTTTTCACTCTGCACTCTCATGTACATATAAACACCAACAATTTTTGTCTTAATAATGTCAATGGTTAATAAAGGTTTACTAATGTTTAAACTTTAAACTCAAATAATAATTATTGTTATAGCAACTGTCATTTTTATTTATCACGCTACTTTGAAATGCGAAATTATATTTTTTAAAATGTTTGTAACTTCTAAACAAAAGCGAATGGGACATATGTTCATATAAGAAAAAATATTTGAAATTAACCTAGTTACCATCTGTTAAAGTTTATCATAGAGCTTGTAGAACACTCTGTATACAGGGTAATTCAGTCATAATGTCATTAATTTTAACCACGTATTCGGAAGGCTTAATAAAGACAGATAATCGGGAAAAAAATTTTTACTCGACTTAAAAATGAAGGAAATCAACCCATAACTCCCGCCAAGAAAGCGGCCCTGCCAGATGCCCGGATGCTCAGAAAATTTTGTAACGTAATGTCACGAATCAGTCGTCAGCTGAAACGAACAGCTGCAAGTAAATAAAGGAGCATATTGCATTTTATTATAAATAATTTTAACAATTGTATTAACTTAGTGCAAAATGTTTTAACAAGTCTGACTTCTCGAAGTCAACTTTTGTTAAAAGAAAATAAATAAAGCAAATGTAGTTATCTGCTTGTATGCACCCGTATTTTATCAAATAAACAAGTCGGCACACTAAATACCCGAATATACAAAATATACTACACACGGTTACAAAACCAATAACAATTTAAAGCGTTTATTCAAATCTACCATCTTCCATATCTCCCGCATTTTTCCAACTGCATCTACCATGACATACCGCGCAGAGAACGTGCAGGACATCGACAAAATGACTTAAATCTAGTCGAGAAGCAGCCTACTATTTCCACAAGAACAATTTCAAAGCGACTGGAGATATCACAAACCAAAGTTTGGCGGATATTGCGCGAGAATTCACGCAACCCATACCATTTTCAAAATGTTAAAGCTTTAGCTTACTAGTTGATTTCCCCAATCGTCTTGAATTTTGCAGTTGGTTCCTAAATCGAAGTGCAGCAGCACCTAACTTTATTAACAAAGTGCTCTGGACGGATGAATGTTGTTTTACTCATGCTTGCATTTTAAACAAGTAAAAAACATATTACTTTCTCAAAAACAATAAGTAGGTACCTACCTAGGTTACACCAAAGTTTATATTTATTATGTAAACTTTGGTTATACGCGACTGCATATTGAATAATATATTGAACATAATACTAAAACTGTGTATTATTTAACATAATAAATGATAAATTGTATAAACCGTACATTCGAAAACAATCATCCCTAATAATTTGTTGTTTTAGCATAACAGTAATGAATAAATAACAATTGTTATCACAATATTTAAAGTAAAATATATATATTTATCATGTATCGAGACGAAGAGATCAGTTCACGACTGGCAAAATTCCTTTATTCTCATAAACTATTATTTTAAATGTAATTTATTATAAATCCAATTTGTTGTTTACTTGTTGTTTGGAGGCGCTCTCTGATTTATGACCAAGCTCTCCAGGTTAGTACTTGACGTATAACCGACCACTTCGTACACTCGATGCACCTGGGTGACTACAGCTACTACCAGAACACAGTGCGTATGCAGCGGTATTTCAGATTTTACATTTAATTTCATTTTAAATTTGAAATCGTTCATCTTACCTCTCCTAAAAAAAATAATAGCACGATTTTCCTTTGATAAAAGACCGACAACTTTTTGCTCTACTTTGCATTGAATACGATCCTACTACAATATCATATAGTGCACGTGCAAGTGAAAAGTGGGTTAAAAGGTTAATGACCTGGACAAATTAACCTAGGTCGGAAACACGTACCTACCGAGTTATTTATTATGCTGGAATTTGTCTCCGTCCGATTGTTTTTTATGGAATATACAAGTCTCTCTTGCACTTTTCACCCTCTCTTTATAATTTATCTAACGAGTGCTGGTTTTTTATGTCATTATTTCTGTAATGAAATTGAAATGGTTATGAAATGAAATTTAAATTAGTTAGAGTTTTGTAAGTAACTTCAATATTAAATTTTATTTAAAATTAAACAGAGCTAATTTCTTTGCAGCCATAATAGTCACATTTGGTCAGATGAAAACCCGTACACTAGTCGTCAGTTTAGCTGTCGGTGTCAATGTATGGGCAGAAGTATAACGCGATCGTTTAATTGCGCCGCATTTTCTACCTGAACATCTGAATGGGCTGCGTTACTTTTTTAGTAGAATTATTTGAAAACCTTCCCCTTCAGATGCTACGGAATATGTGGTATATGCACGACGGAATTCCGGCCCATTTTGCTCGCGATGTACGTGGATTTTAAGACGATCAATGTCCAAATCGATGGATAGGGAAAGGAGGGCCCATAAGATGGCCAGCGCGCTCGCCGGGGTAGAGAATGTAGATCAGTTGTGGAATCGTATTGAAGATGCCGCTGATGAAATACGTAACGACCCTGTTTTATTCCATCGCATCCGCCGTTCATCAATCCAACGTGTACACTTGTGGATAAGTGGTAACGGTAATGTATTTGAACATTTGCTGTAAACCCGAAGGCTTACAGCAAATTAAAAAATTAACATTATGATTTTTAGCAAGGCATGCTCAGGCCTCCTCGAAGTACTTGCTGGGCAACAATAACAATTTAATATGCATAATTATAAAAAATAATTTATAGCATTTTAAATTATTATTGGCTGACGTGAGCAAACCGTTTATTTATTGTCTATATATGAGCAAAAATATATAAATATGGCAATGTTGCATCTAGGGCATCTGTTCATATCGTAGCCGTGCGCAAACTGTGAATAACCAGCTGATGTCAGCCGGTCAGCAACAGCCTGAAAAGGGGGTTAAATAATGATTTGAAAAAATTTTTTTTCAGCTTAAATATGCATTTAAATTTTTTTAATTACGCCATTGTATTATACTCATTTTTCTCTATCTGTTCTGAAAATTAATGATATTATGACTGAATCACCCTGTATACAGGGTGTTTCAAAACAAATATAAAATGATTCTTTGGCTCATTCTAAGAAAAAACATTCTTATTGACGTGGGTCCGTAAACGCACCGTTTTCGAGATATAGGTTGTCAAAAAAAAAATTTTTTTTTTCAGTTTTTTGACGATATCTCAGGAACTGTTTAAGATACAGAACTCCAATTTTGTACACGTATTATTAATATTAGTTACTTTTGAGCGCTAATTCAATTTTCATTCATAAAAGAGCAGCGGAGATTTTAGGATTGCATGAGGCTTTTTTGGCCCTAATTTTTACGACTGGGAAAATTGGCATTTTGAAAGCATATTACCAATGCTTTCTACACAAAGGTACTCATCATCAAAAGCTCTAACACGAACCGTTTCCAAGATAAGTGGCGTTTTATGATGGAAGACATGAAAGAAAGTGGCAACGTGTTTTGTTTAAAAAAAAAATCAAAAACATTTGTTTTTTATTTTTTTCTTTGGGGTCACTTAAAAAGAATAGTTTACACCACACCAGTTAATACAGTTGAAGAACTGTAATCCTACGTCTTCTGCAATACGATCCGCAACACTCCGGGCATTTTCGAATGGATACGTCGAATTTGGAAGCTTATATTACTATAGGAGGAGGCCATTTTCAACAACTGTTGCGGTTTTTGTTGTTTATTTGCTTGGATTTGAAATATTTTTTTATCATGTTACCACTTCGACACGTGTGTCGAAATGCTGTTATCGTTTTCGAAAATATTTTGCGCAGGTCCACTATAAGTGAAGTGTGGTGTTAAAATGCGCAGGTCTCTGTTGAAGCATCATTGATTGGCTACATAATTTTATCTAAACTGATTGTGAGGGCAACTTGAACTATAGTTGTATATACATACTTATACAATATAATTTTCGAATGCAACTAACAATTAGGTAACTTTAGTTTCATGTCAAATTCGCCAAACTTAAAAGCAACCAAACATTGTTATTTCATTTAAACCAAATATTTAACATCTGTTACGAAAATTATATTGTATATAGTTTTTGGTTATTTATTAAATTACTATCCAGAGAAAAAAATGTACGTAGAGACTATTCTTTCTTTTCATTTCCAAATCGGGTACTTTTTCGAATACCTAATTTCTCCATTGTTTTATCTATGCGAATCAGCATAGTTTGAATGAGAGAGAGGTAGTCGGTAGAGTACGTAGTTGTTGAATTTTTCCAGGGTTTGGTTCTACTCCGTCTTTTGTAATATAATATGCCCTAAATAGGCCCCCGCGGTGATATTCCTTTCGGTTTTTGTTGATTCTAAAGCCGCTATGATAGAACCGCGCCTCAGGCAATAATGAATTTCTTGAACGTTCCGTAGTGGTTTCTGTAAATGGACGCATCCAACGCTTACAAACATTTCGCCGTCCCTCACTGTCGACATCTTTAATAGTGACTTTGTTTCATCACGACTTTGTCACTGATCTTATAGCGTTGGTGTCGACGCACGCGCACGTAGACCTGCGTAATACAGTGGTGGAGTGGAGCAGAGGGAGTGGCCCTGAGTACGCGACTCCATATCCCAAGGAATGGTGGATATGTTTTCAGACCCGCATAGTGGTATATCACACATTCTTTCACGTCGTTGCTTGCCTTTAGGAGAGGTAACCAGGTCCTACCTATCCTAAAGCTTTGTTCATGGTTCATATTATTTGGATGTTGTTCGATTTTTAATGCTTCCCGTTGTAACAGAAATTTGCTACTTTTAATTCTTAAACACTCAGTATGTATACTTGTATGTCGAATAAATTATTTTGATCTGTTTGTGGAAGATACAAATACTAATTAGCTTTTGGGAAAATATTAGTAAACCTGGTTTTTGGCCTTATGGGGACATCTATTAGGCGCGGAGCGCGATAGAATTTTAAGCGGTTGGAACGGTCACCACCGCGATCGCTTCTCTCGCGGGTCTCCTGCTAAAAGGAGGATGCGCTACCACGGTGACGTGGTGCGCTGAATTCGAAATTAAGTACAAAACGTTTTTTCAAAGTAAAGATAAAACGAACGTGGATTCGATTCGAAAAATGCTAAGAAAAGACAGCCATTTTATTGTGAAGCCACACGTCCGGAAATAGTCGTGTTAAAATTAAGGCATTTAAGAACAAGACAATATATTTTCACAAGGCCATTCTCTTCAGAGAAGGTATGTAAATACGATTTTATCAAATTTTTATTCGTAAGAAAAGCAATTATATTACAATACCATATCGTTTTTTAGATTTGTCGGCTCTTGGGTAAATTAAATCAAGTACCCCTTTTTGAAAGACTATGACTGGGCGAGCACTACGTCACTTTTTTTCAATTGGTACACCGCACCCTGTATGCTGAAAATTTATCGATGCATAAGTAGAAAAAAAAAACAGGTTTGCTGCACGCTTGGGAAAACCGAAGGGAGACAACATTCCTGCTGTTCAACGTGTCGTTTGCCAGGTCAGATCCACCCTTGTCTTATATAACTACTGTGCCATGAGATTTGATCTCCACACCGCCAATCTATCACTTCAACTGTTTATTTAGATAATTAAAATCAAAATTTGAATAGTAAATATTTTCACACTTTCTGCATTTTAAACCAAATTTGGCTGTGAACCGAAAGTAGCGCTATTTTGGGGAACTTTATCACCAAAGCGGCTATATTGCCACTTTGTTTGCTTTGTTTGTTTAAGATTTATAATATAATCATTTTCTTTAATTGTTTATATTCGTTTTAAACCTACTGATATTTCTATAACATTAAAATTTTGTTGAACCCTGACCACACTATCTTCTTTTTTCTTATAGAGCCCTAGCGTCGGTGAATATATTTCATATTTTTTTTTAACAACAAAATTAAGTGGCGCTCCAAAAGATAAAAATTTTATCGAGTAAATTCTAGAAAAATCTCCTTACCCACACCTAGTGCTTACCGAATAAGAGCTGCCTTCCCGCATGGAAAGCTTTTTGAAAAGAAAAGGTTACACCGTCTAACCAGGTTGTAAAATCCTATCGTGACGAGTACCTCCGAGTCTTCGAAATTTATTATAGTCCTTCATCTAACGTTGGTTGGGCGATGGCTGATTACTCAGACTGGTTGAATCTTAAGGCCCTTTCATATTCTTTCTTTGTAATAACCAATCTCTTTCTTTATAATCATCCCTACATTTACAGGGTATGTGGTATCCCCAGGTTGTGAATAAAGAATTAAGCCGTTATTTTATCGATCCTATCTTGTATTGCTTTTTGCTGTAGGAATGAACCTCGCACCACTTCTGTTTCTCCATAATACCTTGGCAATACTGTCCTTTATTTTATGAACGTAAGGTGGGCATGCTATTTGTTGATCGATTAACCGATGACCGATTTTTCACATTCCATTTGTAGGCGTCTAAGGTTGATGACTTATTTTATAGCCCGTCCTTTATAATTATTTGTTTGTAAAACTGCAGTGAGATATTTCAGTTCAGAGTCTAAATGTTCCGGATCTGATACGGACCCAGCTGTAGTCACCATACAGATGTTCTAATTATAGTCTTTATTTTGTTCCGGGTGATGGTTCGAGTTGTTCGCTTTTATTTAACTATCAGTTTCTTATAGGCACTATTTGTCAGTTTCCACTGGTTTCTGGTTACCAATACATCCAGGAGAGTCAGTTTCCTTTTTCCTTTCTTCCTCCATAGTTCAAGGAAATCATCAAGGTTATCCTTGCCATATTGCCAATTGTGTTCGTTAGATAAAGCTCAAATAGGGCTATCCCCTGCGATAGAAATAGAGTTCGTAATATTCCAAAGTGTGTTTTACTGGTTTCTAGGTAAAAAATTCTCCACATCCCTTCACAGATGTCTGAGACATTTATAGTGAGAGACTGAAGAATATCATATGAAATGTATTGAATTATTTGTGTTCCGATTGCACTACCGGTACCATTCCCATTCTCACCTTCATCCTCATAGTCATCATCGGCGTTAGCGTCAACGTTATTGTTAGCGTCAGGGTCAGCATCAGTATCAACATCGGCATCAGCATCAGCTGCAGCAGTATCAGCATTAGTATCAGCAGAAGCATCAGCTTCAATAGCCATCGTCATCCTCATCGTTCATATCCATATCCATAATTACATCCTTATCCTTATCATCATCCTCATCATCATCATAATCATTATCATCATCATTTATCACCGTCACAGTCACCCTCACCGTCATAATCACTTACACCGTCACAGTCACCCTCACCATCACCGTCAGTACCGTCGCTACCACCGCCGCTGCTCCCTCTTATTGTTAAAACAATGTTAATTTTATTATTTATTTCAGTCATTCATTTATTATTTATTTCTCACGATATAATGCGTATTTTTTATATTTTTTGTATTTTTTAGTTAAAGAATGTCATAAAATCAACAGTTAATAATGAAATTTGTATCGAAAATTGTACAATTGACATTGAATCTGAATGTGAACTGGAAACCGATGAAGAAGTTTTTAATATAATTATTCGAAGGCGAAGAAATATTTTTGAGGAAGTACGAACACGTACCAGAAATAAAAATAAAAAACACAAAAACAAAATTTATATGAAATTTCAGATACGCGGGAAATATCTTAACGAAACTCATAGTGAATATCAAGATATAAGGCTACGCAATGGGTATAATATTACTATTCGCTACAACAAGAGACGATACATTTGCCCTGTGGGATTCGTAAGAAGAAAAAATAAATGCAGTAAGTTTTGTTCATTTTGCTATACTATACTAATATCTTTTTAATATCATTTTTGCAATAAAAAAAATTAACTCTAATAGTTTTATACTTCCGATAAAGTTTTACATAAATAAAAAAATCCCTAGTTCTAATAGGAATATTTTTTGTCAAGCATTTTGAAAGTACTTACATGAATTTGTGACAAACATCATATATTTGATTGCTTTAATACATTTTGCGCTACAATTGATAATAAAAAATTCTCTTAACACATTCTTTTTAATCAGTTTATTTTTAAGTATTTTAATAATGGAAATAGTCCTACTAGATATTAGTAATACCACAACCTCTTACTGCAATTTTATACAAAAAAAATTAAAAAATTCTTATTAAAGGAGTGGAAAGAAATAAAACACTTGTTTTGGGTAGGTACTTACCTACCCACCAGTATTCTCAATGATGGCAAAATCAAAAACTATTCGTTGCATCATTAAGTGTTTACAGCTTATCTGACAATACTACAATAATACTTTACGTTTTAGTACAATGTCCAAAAGGAACGTTTCAAGATAACGCAACGAATAAATGTCAAAGTTGCGCATTTGGATATTATAATGACAAACTGGGACAAACGAAATGTTTTTCGTGTCCTTCTAATTATTCTACAAATAAACTTCACTCTAAAAATTCAGCTGACTGTAAAGGTAAGTTTATAGTTTAGTTACATCACAATGTAATTATTTTCAAGAAGAATCATACTTTTTCTACTACTTGCGATCAAAAAGAACTATAAATATTAGGTAAGCATATAAAAGATAATACCACATTGTCTTTTTATTGGAATTTACTTCTTTATCGTTAACATATTTCCTTAATCTGTACAATTTTTAAACAATAGTAAATCTATCATTTCATAATAATATTACAACAGCGAAGAACAATATCTAAACTTCTAATAGTAGGGGAGCCCACGATACTAAACAGGGATTTACTCGAGCGTCGTGGGGACCTATTGGATTTTGGAAGATTAGATGGCAGAAAGAACAGGTGGGTGGGTGGGT